GGCGGTAGTCACTTACCATCAGGTGAGCCGCATGCTCGTTTGCCCGTTTGCCGTCTCCTATAAAAAAAAATTCCTTAATATTATTATAACCCTTTTTATACAAACTTAGTTTATTAAAGTTTTTGAACTTTGACCAGGTTTTGTATATTTTCTGGGAATTTGTTAAGGTGTGTGAATGTATATTGTGTGTGAGTGTGATATATTAAGTTAATGCTCTCGTTGAATAATATTAACAATATTGCGAACACAATAAAATATGTTCTCAATTAGCGAGCAACTTTTTATGGGTTTAAGTGTTGATATTTTTTACAAAATTGACTTAAAAAGTGTTTCTTAACGTTAAATTGTTGATTTTTACTTGAAAATAAATAAATATATTGCTGCATGACTATTACAGTTACTGTTTTTGATTAAAATAAAACCAGATGTATAAGTACCAGATTCCAGTATACAATCAAAAAATGAACATGTCTAAATAAGGTTCGGTTTCGGTTTCGGCTGAAACTGACACCCAGACCGAAGGTTCGTTTTCGGTTTCGGTTTCGGTTGAAAATCCTGTTTCGGTCGGACACTAATTATTAGACCATCCGCCGTACAGCCCCGACCTAAGCCCTAATGATTTCTATACTTTCCCTAAAATAAAGAATAAATTGCGTGGACAGAGATTTTCATCGCCTGAAGCAGCTGTGGACGCCTACAAAACGGCCATTTTGGAGACCCCAACTTCTGAATGGAATGGTTGCTTCAATGATTGGTTCCATCGTATGGAAAATGTGTCAAATTTCGCGGAGAATACTTCGAAAAGCAATAAATACATTTTGAAATAGTAATGTTGTGTCACTTCCTTGATTCCCGAAATTTTCAGTGCCGCCCTCGTACAAAGATTAAAAACGAGGCCCGGTAGTTAGGGGGCTAGGAGTTTGCCGTAAAATTTCACAGTGCGCTAGCAACCCAGGTGCGTTCTCCACCGGCACCCATAAAATAGTTAATTTTGTAAGTATGTATGTATATATTTTGTATGTATGTATGTATACATACATACATACACGCCGTTTCCGTCCTATCGATCCTAACAGCTTCGACGGAAACCGTATTGAAGGTCATTAATCAGCTTATGCTCTTCAAGGTATTGCGTGAGCTGGCAGTTAATAATGGATTCCATTATTTTGGAGGACAAGGAGGTGACGGCGATAGGCCTGTATTTGGATAGGTCCCAGCCTTTATTAGGAATCGTATGCACTAAGGCTGTCTTCCATAAGCTTGGAACGACACCTAAGGAGTACGAGAACATGACATAAACATAAAAGTAACAAGGACATAATTCAACAACTGCATTATAACTTTGTAGTCTATATTAATATAATAAAGTGGAAAGGTTTTTACATGAGAAATAGTATAGGAATAATATAGCATTAGGCTACACCTCTCAGTTAATCTTAAATACTGATTTTTGCTAACCCGTCAAGTCAAGTGCTAGGCCATTTTATTTTTTACGCGCCAAACGTCTAAATAAATAGGCTACGATTCTCGAGAGGTACATTCATTTGAATACGAATCATCAAAGAGATAACATCGAAATGGAAAAAAATTTAATGAGAGCTCTCTCTGTTTAAAAAATGTCTACCAAAGACATACACAGCGACTTGGTGAAACATTAGAGGGACTCTGCTCCTCCATATTCCACAGTTGCACGCTGGGCTAAGGAGTTTAAGCAGGGCAGAACATCCACGGAAGATGAACGCCCATTCACATGCCTCACTGAAGATAAAGTGAAAAGAGTCGAAGACGTCGTATTGGTAGATCGAAGAGTGACCATCAGGCATATAGCTGACGTCACAGGGATCTCATGTGACAGTGGTCAAAGAAACGTTGCGAACTAATTGCGCGTTGGGTACCGAGAATGTTAACCGACGAGCAAAAGAAAAAATTAGTCGGCATATCGAGGGTTAATCTCGAAAGGTTCCAAGCAGATCAGATTTTTTTTATTACGTTTCGTGACCATGGGCGAGACCTGGATCTACCATTTCGATCCTGAAACCAAACAACAATCAATAGTTTGGAACTGAGCCTCCTCCAGACGCCAAAGAAATTCAAAGTGCCAAGTTCGGCGGGAAAGGTTATGGCGTCCGTTTTTGAAGGAATAATTATGGTGGAATATTTGGAAAAGGGAGCCATTATTTCCGGCTTATACTCTCGACTACGTAGGCCAAATAAGAAGATTGCAGGAAGCTATCAAAGAAAAAGACGATGAGACGAGATGGAGTGCTGTTTCAACAAGACAACGCTCCGGCTCACAAAGCCGCAGTTGCGATGGCTGCCATTCAAGAAACGGGATTTGAACTGTTTGAACACCCAACCTATTCACCAGATCTAGGTTCCCAGTGACTTCTATCTATTTCCTCGATTCAAGGAACACCTTCGAGGCAAGAAATTTGCAGACGATAGCGAAACTTAAAAAATATTTTTTCTAAGAGAATTCTGATTATTACAAAAATGGACTAAATGCGTTGACTTGTTAAGACTATGTGGAAAAATAAATTATTTTTTTTTAACAATAATCACCGTGTTTAATATTCACTATCAATAATTACTTTTGGATCACCCCTCCTACTCACATCCTAAAAATAAAAAGGCAAGACAAAAAGATTATCAATACAATCAGGCGTTACATTGCGAAAATCCATTATATTAAACACTAGCTGACAACCGCTCGCTTCGCTGGGCGCACGATTTTATTGCGGAACTAAAGTAATTAAGTAATAAAAGAATAAAAATTTGTATGATAGTACATCTCCAACTACATGATGCAAGAGGAATTTGTGGTGATTTTTTTATTTTTTGATACTGGTTTTTTTTTAAATAAATTCTTTTACCTATGTCAAGAACCGAATGTCAAGAAAGGTTTAGTGGATGCAGCTACCGAAGTATGTGGTGTAAGTAAGAGAACGATTGAAAGGAAAAATAACACGTTATGGTGGGATGATGAGGTAAGGATGGAAGTTGAAGCAAAGAAGAAAGCATGGCTAGATTTACTAGCAACCAAGGCTAGTAATTCTAGCAGTATGAATGATGATATTGAAAGGAAAAAGGCAGTTTTTAGACATCTAAATAAGAGAGTAAAAGAAGTAGTTGAAAGGAAAAAGCAAGAAAGAACGGATGAGAATGATAGAAGAAAAATCGGATAACTTCCAGGCAAACATTAAAATGTTCTGGAAACTCGTAAGAACTACCAGGGGACATTCACAACAGCCTAGAATGAATGCTATACGAGACCAGAATGGCTGTATTCTGAATGACGAAGTTTTGAGTTTAAGGAGATGGAAGGAATACTTTGAAAGCGTGTTTATGAGTGATGAGACGTTTGAATTAAATGAAATAGAAATTCCGAAAGAAGAGGAAATAGATAGAGATATAAGTATAGATGAAATAATGAAAGCAATGAAAAGTATGAAAGCAGGTAAGGCAGCCGGTTATGATAGAGTATCTCTCGAAATGCTAAGGGCTGGAGAAGGAGTGGTGGCAGACCTGCTGTACACTTTGTTTAATTTATGTTGGGAACTTAAGCGGGTACCGGGAGACTGGTGCAAAGCCGTGATAGTCCCAATATATAAGGGAAAAGGATCACAGCAGGACTGTAAAAACTACCGTGGTATCAGCCTTCTTAGCATTGTGGGAAAACTGTATGCTAAGGTACTAATTGAAAGAGTTATGAAAGAAACTGATGGAAAAATTTGGGATGTGCAAGCGGGATTTAGAAAGGGAATGGGATGTACGGATCAGGTCTTTTCCATGCGCATGATCGCGGAAAAGTTTTTGGCCAAAAACCAAAAAGTTTTTTGTGCTTTCATAGACTTGGAGAAGGCTTATGACAGAGTGGACAGGGATGTGTTATGGCAAACACTGAACTCATTTGGGTTGACCGCTGGTCTGATACAGGCATTGAAGTCTCTATATAGGGACTCTAGTGCTTGTGTCAGGATCAACGTGGCCTACTCAGACTGGTTTGGCATCCATAAAGGTGTCAGACAGGGCTGTGTGGCTTCCCCGTGGTTGTTCAACCTATTTATGGACAGTTGTTTGGAAAATTTGAAAGTAGAAGAATGCGGGTTAAGAATGGGTGAGTTAACCGTCAAATGCCTTTTGTACGCCGATGATCAAGTCATACTTGCATCGTCGGCAGCCGAGTTGCAAATGATGGTTACATTAATGAACAGGACATTAAAAGAAAAGGGAATGAAAGTGAACGCAAGTAAGACGAAAGTTATGGTTTTTGAAAGAGAAGACAGCAAAACGATATGTGAAATAAGAATACATGGGGAGTTGGTAGAGCAAGTAGATGAGTTTGTATATTTGGGATGTGTGTTTAGCATGGATGGTAGACATGATAAGGATATAGAACGACGAGTGAATGGAGGAAATAGACTGAATGTAGAGCCCACACTCTATTGTGAAAAGTCAGAATGTGTCCAAAAAGGCACGTATGGCAATTCACAATGCTGTGTTAGTACCTACTTTAATGTATGGTGGTGAAAGTTGGGTGTGGCAGAAGAAGCATGAGAGTAGAATAAATGCTGTAGAAATGCGGTCATTAAGGAGTATGTTAGGGATGAAGCTGAATGACAGAGTGAGAAATTGTTTAATAAGAGAAGAGTGTGGTGTGCAAGATGATGTTGTGCCCAGGATTAAGAAAGGAATGCTTCGGTGGTTTGGCCATGTAGAAAGAATGAATGAGGAAAGAGTGACAAAGCAAATCTATGTTGCAGAGGTGAACGGCATAGTCGGGAAGGGTCGCCCTAGGCGAAAGTTTATCGACCAAATTGGCGATATATTAAAAATGGGCCATATCAAGAGTACCTTTAACCGACGAGCGTGTATGCGTAGGTATATGGATGTGGAGGAAGCGAGAGAAGTGTGTCAGGATCGTGCCAAATGGAAGTCCATAATCTCTGCCTACCCCTCTGGGTGACAGGCGTGAGTGTTTATGTTATGTTATCTTTTACCTATGTCATCATCATCTTTTTTACTCTTTGAACCAAATGCAATTAGCGGCAAGTCGTTCTCCGAATCCGTATGTCTATCTTCAAAAGCATCAATCTCCAAGTCTTCTTGTTTTTTGGCACTCTCTAGAATTAAACAGATTCTGACTCAATATATAAAATAAAAACTGATATTATTTCCAAGCAACTAGATCATTACAGTCCACCACAAAGCTTATGGGCCTGAGCCACCCATTTTCATTACCATACTGCATGTTTTATAAGTTAAGTGTAATAAACTGAAGTGGCAATGGGCCGAAGAATTTTCAACCGATGGGGAAGAAAGGTTCTCGAGTGGCAGCCTCGTACCGGTAGATGAAGTGTAAGGCGACCCCCCACTATATGGAGTGACGACCTGGTAAGACATGCAGGAAGTCGATGGATGCAGGTGGCTAAGGCCCGTAATTTGTGGCATTCCTAAAGAAATTGGCAAAGACAGGTTGCTTACCAGTTGTAAGTATATCAATAATTCTTATGAAATTAATCCATCTTAGTGACATACATACTGGCTACATTTATACAGGGTCAAAATATTTTTAAAATATATAAATACATAGGTAAAAAAATAATGTCGAAAGATGCTCATTATTTTACATTGACAATTATTTGTTTATTTAAACTAACAACTATCATGACAGGCATAACCTAATGCGACAGTGTAATTCTTCTCATGCACAACAAAACTGTGGTCATTAACTGTAACAAATTGTAAACAATCCTACCCTAGTGAATTCACTCAAGGTGCAACAGAATAGATCAATGTCTTCAGCCATTCTATTAAGAATGCGTAACGTTTGTGTTAAAAGCGCCTTGTCTTACTCGACATTGGTACGCGTCTGGAACACACGGCCTAATCCGCCCCAATATGCCACTATAATATAATTTTGTGTCCATGGGCTACAGTAACCACTTGCCATTACGTGACTTATAGCTTATTTTAATAATATCACAAAATGTGTATATCTTACCTATTTCATGATTCCCATTTTCTTCAAAGTAATTCTCATTTTCGAAATTCTCTTCCTCAACTTTAACAGATTCAAGGCTAAACATATCGTCCTTACAATCATTGTCTACATCACACTCTACTGGCCTGATATCTATATGACTAATTGATGTGAATTGAATCTTATCTCTAGCCTCATGCGCTTTTGGTATTGACTGAAACCAAATAAATATTTTAAATAAGAGAAAAAGCCAGTGCAGTGGTGCCGTAGGAGAATCCATACTACCATACCATCCTGCAGATGTCGTAACAAGGGACAGAGGGAAACTGAAACAGGAAATAGGCAGCAGCATCATCCTGACAACAACTCCAAATAATAATAAAAACTGGACAAAGTGAGGGCTCCGAATAAACTTACATAAGAATGTAGATATGTAGTTCATCCATCTCGAGTATCGAGTCTCAAAAATTTGTCGAAACAGATTCCCGAATGCCGTAAATTGACAAAGATCTATCTTTGTTTACCGAGTAATATTATATACATATAGATAATATTTCGTTTATACAACATCTAACGTAATTAACGCACATACATCCTCAGACACCCCAATTAGTATATTGTTATAATCATAATACATACACTAAATTCTTAGTTAAACATGTTTATGCATTGATTATAATATATTAAATTAGTTATACTAATTCCGGAAGAATGTTGTGGTCACCGTACAAAACCACGAACGTTAGGTATATGTCTTGCTAGCCTAGTAGGTATTCGCTCGCGTTCGAGACGAGTTAACGCCGCCGCCGCTTGACACAACTGTAGGTAGGTACATGATTGGTTACGTTAATGAAATACCTAGCTACGAACATTAACAGATGTCAGAACTCCGTGCATTGAATTGTCTAGTAAACATTTGATTGCATCTTTCAATCACACTTTTCAGGCTTTGGACTTTCGACACTGAATAATTTTGTTTATTGATTATGATACAATGTCAATAGGCAATATTCGTTACAAAATGTTATCAATTTGCATAACATTTTAATTGTAATTGTAAATAATAATGAACTGCTAAAACTAAGAGGCAATACGACAACATAATTCAAATACGGAGTGTTTAAAAGATGTGAATCAAGATTACAATAATTTTAAGCATCAAATATTTAACTTACTGATAGCCTAAACTCTACAATAATACATTTTCAATAAGTCCACCACAGCTCCGTGGCGCAGTGGCATAGCAATTGAGATGCCGCGCTAAGGACCGCGGTTTCGAATCCCGCATGGAACAATATTTGTATGGGCTACAAATAATTGTTCCGGGTCTGGATGTTTGTCCTTGTGCAATTTATGTTTGTACACTGCCCCCACAATACAAGAGAAAATCCTAGTGTGGAGGTTACGTTTTGAAAAAGAACGAAAATAATTTAGAAAGCAATTCAGTGTCATTTTCCACTATTCTAAAATCGTTCACTCATAGAATTACTATTTTTAGGTCCTCGGCACTTGTTAACTCACTAAAATAAAGTAATGATTTAATACGTCCCCATAAAAAAAGTCAAGAGGCGTCAAATCAACCGATCTGGGAGGTCAATGGCCTGGCCACCGCGACCTTTATAACGCACTCCAAACTCTGTATTTGTAAAGACTTTAACATACTTGAAATAAGGTTCAATTTTCTTTATTTTGTATTGAACTTTATATATTATATATATATTGAATTTTTAAGTGGTAGAGCCATGCTGCAGCTATATTAGTAGTATGCAAAGACGTATTACTTTTAAAACATCTTAGGTAGTATAGCTGTAGCACGAATGGGTCGGCTCGACCGGGAAAGGACCACGCTCTCACAGAAAACCAGCGTAAAATAGCAGCTTAACGTTGCTGTGTTTCGTATGGTGCCTGGCCGCTGCGACCTTTATAAGGCACTCCAAGCTCTGTATTTGTAACAACTTTAACATACTTAAAATAAGGTTCAATTTTATTTATTTTGTATTGAGTGACGGAATTTGTATTAATACAAATAAAACTGCACTTTTAAAGTCTTATTGCCTTGAGTTACGGTCCATTTCAGTTTGTTTTGTCTGTACAGGTTTAGTGTGACTGTAAATTACGTAGTTTGAATTATTTTTGGGATAACAAATTACCTATATTAAAAATGATAGAAATCGATTCAGTAAACAATTCTTAACAAACTTCTTTCACAAAGTGCGTTAATTATGTTTTTATTTATTTATTTATTTTATTTATTTATTTATTTAAATGTTACGTGTTACGTGTTGTATGCAATAGAGTAATATATAACAGCATAAACAGTTAGCTAATTAGTTTTGTAAAAATAAGTACTTAACTCATTGTAATTCGTAAAACATAGAACATTGCTCTAACGAAAAAGTAAGTTGGATTGAAGGATAAACTTAACTTTGCAGTAGAAAAAACTTTCTCCCATATGGCAACGGGAAGCAGCGTAGAAGACGCAACAGGTAGTGATCATCAAGGTGCCTACCAAGTGATGATTAAGGCAAATACTTCATTATAATGGTAATGACCCATCAAGCAGTGAACTTTTATTAATAAGAAGTATAATACCGTGGACCGTGTAGTGACGGTGTAAGAATATCCACTAGCCTATATACCTACCCACGGGACGGGTGTCGTAAGAGGCGGCAGAGGGAAACAGAAACAGGAGTGAGCTGATAATAACTCAGACTAATATAAACTGTGCTTGCCAACCTGCCAAGCGTGGCAAATTTGGTAAAATCGCTCCTATGAAGCAATCAATGTGGGACTTATATAGTTTTTAATGGAAGGAATGGGTAATACCATGGACCCTCCTGCAAGCAACTGCTTCAGAACTCTTTTTGACTCAACAGCCTGTTGTTGCAATGTACTGCAACGAATGAGTCTTGCATGACAGGTGAAACAGACAATAATGGGCTCCTCGTCCTCATCCATCTGAAAATATGAAAGTTCATCATAAATTTGGAAAACTACTTAAATATACAAGTTTGTAATAACATCTATTGGCTACCACAATGCTCTTCATCAACATCACTTTTTTACAACATTGAAGTAACAAATAAACTTACAATCCACCTAATGGTAAGTGCACCTGCAACGAACTGCAAGCAAAGGCTACAGATGCGATGTTACCTCTGAGGACTAAGATGTAAAGCTGTAAAGCTTCACAGCCTGTTATTTTTAGCCTTTGATACAGTTTCGATTCCCATACCACTCAACCGTTCGGAAAACTTGGGTATAAGAGGTGTTGTCTATAACCGTTTTAGGGACTGTCTATCAGATAGATGCCAACTAGTCAGAATTTACAAATAAATCAGCACTTCGTCTTGCTCTTACGGTGTACCACAGGGAAGTTTCTTAGGTCCTTCGCTCTTTCTTCTTTATGTTAACGAATTGTGTAAAATCAATATAAAAAATGCCGATTTAACTATTTTTGCTGACAATCCTGTATTGATTTTTCATGGCGACCCTTGGGATAAAGTAGCACAACTCACAGAAAATGGTCTTACATTAGTGACTAGTTGGCTTGAAGATAATTTACTATCCCTTAAAGTTACCTATGTTTCGGTAAGACTAATGCTTCTTTTCCAACTAGAAACTTTAAAATTACTATCCACAGGTACCCTTGCAAACTTAGCACTATGTCAATGTAGTAATTTAGTCAAAACAGATTTGATCAGATATCTTGGATAGATACTGATGCAGTGGCTAATAAACTAAGAATATTTGTTTATATATTTAAAAGTTTATGGACAATGACCAATCACAAACTACTCATTAAAACATACAAAGCACTGGGAGAGTGTGTCTTTAATTACTGCATTTGTTCTTGAAGCGGTGCCACTAAAAGTTATGTAATTAAGGAACGCGCACAAAGAGCTAAGTATCTTAAAAGTAATCTTTCGTCTAACATTTCACCAATCAACAGTTTCTGTATATGACAGAGAGAAAGTGTCATCTGTTTGCAAAATATTTCTTTTTCAAAGTTTAAGGAGATATCATTGTGTCACTGACCCTAAACTAAAACTTAAAAAAAGAATGGAACGATCTCCTGTTCCAAGACCATATAGTGATGTGTTTAGAAGAAATTTTGACTTTTTGGCCCTTAGGCAATACAACAAACTTAATAGAGGTCATAACATAAGATCACTAAATAACTTTGAAGTAAAAAGCTTCAGCTTATATCGGTTGTTTCAACTGCCGGCCTGCTAATTTTTTTTATACATAAGGGTGACAACCAAGCACACAGTCCACCTGATGGTGAGTGAATGCCCATAGACATCTACAATTTATCCTCAATTAAAAACCAAAATGCAGATGTGCTGTTGACCCTTGAAGACCAAGACGGAACACCTTGCCTCAGTAAAAAGGATGTCCGGTTCTCTACACTCACCATACAAGTCAGAGCAGCATTAAGTTGCTATTTAATGCCGGTATTCTGAACGAGCATGATACCACCCCGGTAGAGCTGACCAACCTGTGATACAACCATAATACAGCTGCAGCGTGGCTCCACTACATATAAAATAATGATAATAATGCTCTACAGACAGAATTTCGGTCACAATGGAGACTATTTATCAGTGCATGACAGGATTATATTGCACGTGTGTGTAAGCAAGCACATATGCACATTATTCCCTTGGAATATGAGAAATATGAGAGTGAAGGAATTTCTGTGTCTATAAGCACATGTGCACTAATCTCCTACTTTAATAGTCCAAATATGTGTGGATGTTAATTTCTTAACAGAAAATCGCAATAATACTCAGTAATAGTAATAATATGTACTAGAACAGCCATCGCGAAAATATCTTAAACGGCAGTGCGGGTCGCGTGGAAGTTGAGCCCACGGGCTCTAACGCGTGTTGCAGACTACTATGTCTCGGTTTCTCTTCAAGTACGTAGTAGGATTTCAGGCTAGTTGTTGTTTTTCAGAATCTGGTTGCATTTGTCTGTTTGCACTATATTTAAAGCTGCACCTTAGCTTAGCCCGATCAATCGCATTTTATATCAGGCAAGTAACACGGTATTTCTAGGGCGATAACAACAAATTACCGCAACTTCAATTTGCAGTATTAAGAAATATTAACAAACTTACAAAACTGTTCGTCAATGTTTTATACAAATTTCGGAGACTAGTCTTCTTTAGAACAATCATGCGTACATTAATGCATAAACAAATTCTACAAATTTCACTAAAGGCCATTCTGGTTTCCTATAACTTTAATATAATTGGATTCACTTTTACATCAATAAACAGGAGTTTTCAAAAACAATAAAATGCTGTAAAGCAAGCAGTTATTATGCCAAATATTATAATCCAAAACCAAAACAAAATAATTTTTAGGCGCATGACAGGATTGAAAGCACAAACTATATAGAAACCATACAACTTTATAATTTGTGATAGAAACTACGCGTTCAGACAGAAGTGTCTGGTACATAGATAAATATATATGTAGCAAGCTAGTCTGGTACATTTAGTTTGGACCGTAAAGCAAATTAGAACATGACATTTCGTTTTCTTTTTAAAAATATGATTTGGATATAGGCAAAGGAATAATTTTATTTCAGCCTAGTATAATATATACATATATATATATATATATATATATGTATACATATATGTATATGTATATATATATATATATATATATATATGTATATATATATATCACCTATATATTATTTTTATATATATATTTTTAATTACTATTTTATTATTATTTTATTATGAAGAAGGAGGATTCGTAGAAATAAAATGCATTGTATATATTTATCGGAAATGACAACAGGAGATCCCACTTCTGATGTCGGAGAATTCTACAGAGGATTCCAATTGTGATCTTGGAAATACATCAGGATAGCGTTAACTGTTAAAAATAATAAAAGTGTGAGAGTGGATGTTCAACTTGCTCTCTTGCTTACGCAGTTTAATCATTATCAGTAATAAGACAACGTAACGCACTATACATTCAGTATAGTGAAATTACAGTTCGACCACACCGTAATACGTCTCAGCCACAATCACACACCAGTGTAACGTGGGGTACGTAATTACATGATAACACCAAAATATGTACAGCAACAGCAACACTACTTATCTCGATGTAACACAGGGAAGCCTCTCAGCAACACCAATCCTCCTTGCCTGCACTAGAAGAATTATAACAACGAACAGAACCACGACAATGTCTTAGCACTAGTCGAATGACCACACCCGTTGAATGACTTGAGCGGAATCTCTCACGCACGGCACCTACAGTGTACATTATACTACAGACACAAGAGGGGGTTTCTCGATGTACCCTCCATTCTACCTTGACCCAACCGGGTATTTTATAGACGCTCCGACATATTATTTATTATATGATTTATTTTTTAACTTTTTTAAACTCGTTTAAAGGCTTTTTTTTACATTGGTGGCAATGTACACTTTTCGATTCTAATGATGTCCGTGCCTTTCAGAATCCCATCTGTGGTATATGCTATACAGTAAACATATAATTGCTCTCTTGCTGCTTGCACTTGAATATTTTCAATGGAAAAGTTCTCTTCAATACATTCGAAATCTAGTGTATTGAGCTGGAAAAATGAATATTTAAATATGTAAATTACAAGTTTGAATATCTGCGCTAATTGTAATTATTGTTGTTTATAAATGTTTGCATAGAAAATGTCAAGACAAGAAGAGGCCATTGTAATCAGATAAAGTTACTTTCACATAAATCTAAGAAGCTTTCACAATTATACAGAAATTTCCAATAATTTTTGAACATAATTATCATTAATACCTAAGATAATTAAGTACATTGATTTTTGATAGGTTGGGAGGATAAAAGTATTTGTAAAGTAGCCAATTATCTATTGGAGTCTATGTTCATGTTCTACTGCGGGGCACATACTCTGTGTCATTTCTCAGAGGGGTATGAAACAAAAAGTTGGGCAAGGTGCTTTTTAAAAAAAAAAACGTTACCCCACACTAGGATTTTCTCCTGTATTGTGGAGGCAGTTTACAAACATATAATGCACAAGCACAAAGATCCAGACCCGGAACAATTATATGTACCCGGAAAAATAAATAGGCCGTACAAATACACGTTCCGTGCGGGATTCCAACCCGCGGCCCCAAGCGTTGCAACTCATTGCTAAGCCACTACGCCACGGAGTCGGTGACCACATCTTTAAAATATTTTTATTCCTTAGTGTAATGTCTGCTATCTTCTCTAACCACTGTAGTGTAACACAGGCTCGGCACGCACTTTAACTAAACAACACGTCCACTCTCGCCCGAGGCTCTCGTGTAACTGACGCGGTGCGCTCGAGACAGTGACTTATATAGGTATAAATGCATGTTTGTGTATTTGTGCATCGTAAATTATTAGTAAATAAAACAAATAACAATATTTACTGTATACTACATATAAGCAAACACTACATCTCTTTCTTATCAAGATTTTTTTCTTTTTTTCATTATAACTCATAACAATCACAAAGCAGCTTGTATTGTCTGTATTAATTATTTTCCACTGCTTTTACGTAAACCTTATCTCCCTGTATTATATTTGAGCGAGTTGCTCTGCGTTTCCTATATACATACTCTTTTCCTTTTCCTTTTTTGTATTTTGTCTCTATCCCTGATATCTGAATCTAAATGATTGTCTGTAATTTATTTCACCTATTGATGGAATTTTATCCCTACTTTTTCGGTGAAAAAACAGTTCAGACGCTAACTTCCCGGTAACTGTAAGGAGGGGTGCTGTTATACATTAGAAGATACTCCCATAAACATTTCTTTTAAATCCTTCCTCTCGATCTGGTTGATACGAAGACGTTTCAAAATATCTCTGTTTTGTCTTTCAACTTCGCCGATCATTTGAGGCCAATATAGTACAGTACTAAATAACTTAATGTTACATTCTTTGCAGAAGGATCGAAACTCTTCACTCACGAACTGCTTACCATTGTCTGCGGTGATAGAAATAGGATAACCAAGTCTACTGAACATTTCTTTTAGCATTTTAATAATCTGTAAGCTTGTGATGGTTTTGTAATTGTTTACTTCTTTGTATCGACTATAGTAGTCGACCAGTACTAACAGATACTCGTTACTTGGCAATGGTTCCATTAGATCCATTGTGACATCTATCCATGGAGCTGCAGGCAACTCTCGTCTCTTCATTGGTGCAGTTGGGTTTGACAAACCCACTAACGTACAACATTTACAAGCCTTTACTAATTGTTCTACGTCTTTATCGATACGGGGCCACCATACCTTTGATCTCCAGCGTCCCTTCATCGCTACGATACCTGGATGAACCTCGTATGCAGCATCTAATACACTCACACTAGCAGAGTTGCTGTGGTATTACAATTTTATTTCTACGAAGTAGAATGCTATCTTGGAAACACAACTCGTTTTCAAAAAATTTGTAACTCTTAATCGAATCGTCCCAGTCCTTCTGATAGACACCTTTTTTCACTTTGTAAATCTCTTGTTCTTTTTCTGAATATGCTACAATGGAACTCATTGGTGTAGCAACTGGTCTAGAATTTTCCACTATTTGGTACACATGCTGGTCTTTTCCTTTTGGTGGGTTATCAGGATAGTTACATAATCGTGAGAAGGGATCAGCTATATTTGTTTTTCCTGACTTGTATATAACCTTGAATGAATAAGACTGTAGCCTCAGTATCCATCGTTCAATCCTCGCACATGGTTTTGACTTAGACCCGAACAATATCTCTAGCGGCTTGTAGTCAGTGACTAAATCAAAAGGCTTTCCAAATAAAAATATTAAAATGTTCGACCCCCCAAACTAATGCTCGTGCCTTTTTTTCCGTTTGGCTATACCTGCGCTCGCAGTCTGTCAAAGCTCGATTACCATAGGCAATAATTCTAGGGCCATTTGTATCATTTTGTACAAGGACAGCACCAAGTCCGATAGGGCTAGCATCTGCTATCACCTGTCTTGCATCTCTGACGTCATAATACCCTAAAATCTGTATTTCCGTGAGCATCCGTTTGAGTTTTTGGAATGCTTTATCTTGTTCTCCAGACCATTGTTTTTCCAAGCTCTCCCTTTTGCTCATCTTCTGTCTTAACAGGTGCTTCAGAAGTTCTGTCATGGCGGCCAAGTTAGGTATCCATTTGTTTATGTAGTTTAAGAGTCCTAAAAAACTTTGGAGTTCTTCTATGGTCTTTGGGACCCTAAATTTCATAATGCTCTCAAGGTACTTGTTGAAGGGTTTACTCCTTCATGTGTAAGCCTGTGTCCCAGAAAATTCACATCCTGCGTTTTATATATGCATTTATTGCTATTCAGCACGGCGTTGTTTTTACTAAGTACCTGTAGAACTTTCTTTAGTCATGCGTCATATTCTTCTTCACTGTTCCCGAATACCAGGATATCATCAATAAAATTGACGACCCCTTCACAGTTTATCAGCATCCTTTCAATGATCTTCTGAAAAATCTCGGAAGCGCAGGTAATTCCAAGCATTATTCTTTTATATCTATATAATCTTTTGGGGGTTATAAAAGTCGTTATGTGTCTGGATTCAGAGTGAATTTCCACTTGATGGAAGGCATTTTTTTATGTCTTAATTTGTTAAAATTTAGCTTTCTTCATTTTAGGCAAAAATGGTCCATAGTAGGCAGGGGGTGGTTTTCTTGCAATATAACGGCGTTCGTACATCTCATATCTACGCACAAACGTAATTCACCATTTTCTTTCATGATTGGAACATTGGTGAAACCCATTTAGACGGGCCTTGCACTTCTTCAATTATATCACTGTTTAGTGATTCCTTAATTTTGATTGCAACCTTCTCTTTAAAGGGGATCGGCTTGCGGACTCTCCACTTGATTTATCCCGATACCAAGTTTTAAGACACCCAGTCGGACTGCTGTGTTCTTACCAAACAGGTTTCTAGTACCTACCCCCCGAAATCACGTAAATGGTTGTATGTTCCTTTCGTCCATCGACTTCGAGTATAGTTTCAAATGAACCCTCTATTGCCAAAGGAGAGTTACTACCCTATGCTAATAATGTCTTGTCTGGTCTTTACATTTGATTAAAAGCATATACTTTTTTGCTTTTTAACTCTTCCCACGTTTTGTAAGATATAAGGTTCTTGCGCAATTTCGAATTACACTTTTCCACAATTTGATCTATGAAATGATCATCTTGCTTTTAGAATGCACACTTTTCGGCTTGTTGACGCAATCTTATCAAAAACTTCTCAAATGTCTCTCCTTTTTTCTGTTTTAGCAATCGAAAAACATGCCGCTCATAAACTTTGCTCCATTTAGGTTGAAAATACTCGTAGAGTTTTTTTTTCTACTTAAAATACATCAACGGTTTCTTTTATCC